AATTGGGGGTTTTGCTTCTTTTGTTTTTATTTGTAATCAGATTATTGCTTCAGGTATTTTATCTTTTTTTAGTTTTTTTGTTTTTTATTGTGGTGGTGGTGGTGGTGGTGGTGCTGCTGCTGCTGCTGCTGCTGCTGTTAGTGCTGCTGCTGTTGCTGCTGTTGCTGTTGCTGTTGGTGCTGCTTTTGCTGTTGTTGCTGCTGTTGCTGTTGGTACTGCTGCTGTTGCTGCTGTTGCTGTTGCTGTTGGTGCTGCTGTTGCTGTTGTTGCTGTTGCTGTTGCTGTTGCTGCTGCTGCTGTTGTTGCTGTTGCTGCGGCTGCTGTTGCTGCTGTTGCTGCTGCTGCTGTAGAGGGTGCCGTTGTCCGGGGTGTAGGGGCTGCAGCAAATGCTGCTGCTGCTGCTGCTGCTGATGCTATATTTATTACGTTAATATATATAATATATATATAATAAATATAAACATAAATATAAATATAAGTATAAATATAAATACAAATATAAATATAAATACAAATATAAACATAAACATAAATATAAAAACAAACATAAAAATAAATATAAAAACAACGATAAAACCAAAAAAAATAAAAATAAATATGTGTGTATGCGTGTGCATGCGTTTCAGGTTTACTATCGATGCCATCTTTTGTGCGTGTATCTGGGCCTTACTATGCTTGTGTTTTTGTTTATTTATTTTGTTTATTTTCTTCTGTTTGTTGTTTATTGTTTTTAAAAAGTATGACTCTTATAGAAGGAAATTATAATTTTAATGAGAGATATGAATACTCTGCTATACTACGATACTTCTTGACCCTGCAGCAGCAGCAGCAGCAGCAGCAGCAGCAGCAGATGCAGATGCAGCAGATGCAGCAGCAGCAGATGCTGCAGCTAGGGGATGAGGAACACCAGCAGCAGCAGCAGCAGCAGCAGCAGCAGCATGAGGTGCAGGAGGAGACAGGAGGAGACACCATCAGAAGAGCTCGCAGCTGTCTCCTCTCTGCTCTGCATCTCTTTGATGGGAGCGGATCCCGGGCTGTGGGGCAGCAGCAGCAGCAGCAGCAGCAGCAGCAGCAACAGCAGCAGCAGCAGGAGGAGCAGCAGGAGCAGCATGCTGCTGCTGTTGGTGCTGCTGCTGAGCCTTTTTCCGGCTCTGAAGCCGCAGGCGAAGCAGACACCAGACAGCAGCAGCAGCAACAGCAGCAGCAGCAGCAGCAGCAGCAGCAGCAACGGGGATTGCTGCAGCAGCAGCTGCTGCGTCTAGGGCATATGATATATTTAGTGTTGTGTTTTCCTTTGCGTTATATATATAGATTTGGGGTGTATAGACTGCATATTATATTAAGAGATATAAAGAAAAGTATGAGTGTATATTTTCCTTTTTCTTTGTCTTTGTCTTTGTCTTTGTCTGCGTCTAGGTGTGTTGCATTTATATTATATATAAACTCTTTTCTTTCTGCTTCTTCTGCTGCTCTTCTGATTGCTTATTGTATTGATGCTCTGCTGCTGCGGGTGCTGGGCTTCACTGTCTTTGTGCGGCTGCTGCCGCACGGTGGGGTGTCTGTGCTGCAGTGTCTGCTGCAGCTCAGCAGCAACATAGGAGATATATTTTCGTGTCTTGTCTGGCCCCTTAGAGAAGGAGTTTTGCTTTTGTGGGGTCTTCGTCGTTCTCTTATTCAGGAACCTGCTGCTGCTGCTTCTGCTGCTGCTGCTGCTGCTGCTGCTGCTGCTGAGTGGGATGTAAGCCCAAACTTTAAGCCCTTTGTCTTTATAACATCGCCGCAGCAGCTCGAAGAAATTTTCTCGGGTGTATGTACATCTACATGCACGGATGCAGCAGCAGCAGCAGCAGCAACAGCAGCAACAGCAACAGCAGCAGCAGCAGCAGCAGCAGATTGTGTACCTTGTCTTAATTATGTTGGAGT